CAAATCCTTACAAATTAAGGTTAAGTATAACGTGTTTCACAAGCGAGCGCCGCACCCAACTGAGCGCCGCACTTTCAACAACAGAACGCCTGCGCAGCGCTATATCACAACACAACATAAATAAATAATTGTTTACAGGCCTAGATAGTATTATTTAGAAGCTTTACTATTATCTATATCCTCTATTTCTACCTTATAAGTGTAGGAATTGTGTCTAATCTTACTACAACACCTATAGCGTTGTCTAACACGCACCCTCTTTATAGGTGTCTTGCCCTTACTATAACCCCTACCCTCCTTTTTAGTAATTAAGTTAGCTACTTTACTAACTATAAGGGTCTCCTCTACACGTATATATTATTACTTACAGGTCTTGTACTTTGTAGACACTTCTACAGCGTCTTAAAGGTAGCCTAACGTACTCCACGGGCGAGTCGCCCACACAGGCGAGTCGCCCACTTTTGCCAAGCCCCCACCAAACCTCACCCTATTATTGCCCAAAACACCACAAACAGGCGCTGTACAAGGCAAGACAAGCTGTAATATTACTTAGAGACTACTTCTACATTATTCTTGCACGTTCGCGCGTTATGTCCAGTCTCACTGCACTGTCCACAGCGCCTTTGGGTCGGCTCAGCCCCATCAGCGCGCACCTGCTTCTTTACCTTCTTACCATCACTACGCGCCCCAAACTCTGTTAGAGCTGTCAATCGCTGCCCCTCCTTAACTATTAGGGTCCCTTCTGCCTTAACTCACTTTCTTTTGTGTGATTTTCGTCGTGTGGCTGCCTCATTTGCTGCTCGAAGCTCAGCAATCTCCTGTTGCGCTAACACTAGTCTGTGCGCAATTATTGCTGCCCCCTTTGACACCTTCTCAAACGCTTCAACTATAGAGGTAGGTGAGCTATCCATATGCCTCTGAATCCTTGTCTTCACAAGCGTTGATTGCGACCCAAGTTCAAGGGTGTTGCTTAGGGTTTGCGACTGCCAGAGCACGTTGTTAACAGGTAGTGGTAGTGATGGAGTGCGCAGCTTCACATCAAGGCTGCTTATGACCCGTTCTGGGTCAAACAGGACCAGTCCAGCGCCTTGGAACCCTCCCTGGATGTTGCTAGGAGTAATCGCAGCGTTGTAGGCGCGTATAAAGCATGGCAGGAACTCAGTCTTTGTAATATGGTTGATCCAGTTGCGCATGAGTATTTCGGCTTGGCGCCTATACGCCTTCTTCAAAGCGGCAAAACAACCCACATCAAGGGGCTGTGTGAGGTGCGATGAGTGAGCAGGCAAACAGAGCGCAATAATCTTACTATCCTTGCAGTATTGCTGGAATTTAAGAGAGTTGTGGCTCTCATGACCATCAATAATGAGCAAACAGTGGGTGCCAATAGTACGCTCCTTTGTATGCCTGTCAAAGTGCTTTATCCAGTCTAGACCAAGCTTGTTAGTAGTCCAGCCGTTATCAGAGACTCCAATAACCCAGTCTTGAGGCAGATCCTCTTCTTTATACCAGGCAGAGAGGTGGTGGTAGGCCTTGAAGATAAGGAAGGCTGGGATGGCCCATCCTTTAGCATTGATGCTCACTATAGCTGTAGCCCACTCCCGGTTGCCTAGTTGGACAGCCTTTGGCCGACCTCGTCGTTCTGAAGCTGTAACAACTGCTCCTGGGGAGATCTGGCCCATCATAAAGCCTGTCTCATCGAAGTTGTACATGTCTTCATCCTGGATGCCATACTTGGCTTTGACGTTGGCTACCAGGCCAAACCAGCCCTGCAGAACCTCAGGATCCTCACAGAGAGCTCTCTTGTAGTCGTACTTGCGATTAAACTTGACTTTGAGCTCTGGGTGTCGCTTAACAAACATACTAGGCCAGTTTGTGCCAATAGGGCCCAGATTGCGCTCAGCGCGCAAAGAATTGGCCATAGTAGCCACATCTAAGAGCCGAGGGGAAAATCCTCGCAAGTCTAGCTCAAGGACATGTTCAATAATCACCTTCTCCTCGTTGTTGTCCAGCTTCCGCAAGTTGGCCATAGAATCAGCGCGTGAAGGTCGTCCTGTGTATCGGTCGCTTAGTGTCTTTCAAGGAACCCCGTAGATAGCTGCAGCGCGTCGCTGAGAGAGAGTCGCGTCTTGTTTAAGAGCCTGGAGCGCAAGCTGTATCTGAGCTTCCTTTAACGCGTCTAAATGGTGGTGTTGAGGAGGCATTAGTGTAGGAAGGGTGGTTTGGTGGGGGCTTGGCAAAAGTGGGCGACTCGCCTGTGTGGGCGACTCGCCCGTGGAGTACGTTATTTCCTCCTGTATTAATACTATATTATAAGCTATCTGCTAAGCGCCCTTTACTAACTATTTAACCTGCTTATCTAATAAACTTACTAGAGATCCTTAATAGATTTAAATCTACTTTTAAATTAGAGTTAACTACTCCTCTACTTTGTAAGCAGTGTGTAGTGTCTTTAGCTCCTAGGCAACGTTGCTAGGTTTTAGTAGCGTTAGCGTGCGTAGGCGCACATTAAGCTTTAATAACACCACCTCTAGGTTATGTAGGACTAGCCTAGCACCTCTAAAGCCTGCGCGAACATTCTCTCTAGTGAACGCCTTACTAAATGCTAATTTAAAGGCTAGCAGGAAGGTTTCCTTATTAATATAGTGGATGCAACTGCGTGCTAAGGCTGAAACCTTGTCGCTATACAGGCGCTTTAGTGGCGAGAAGCAGGCGACGTCAAGTGGCTGCAACAGGTGCGACGAGTGCGGGGGCATACAGAGAGTGATTATCTTCTTCTCTCTGCAGAGATCTTAGAAAGCCACTAAGTAGTGGCTCTTATAGCTGTTAATAATAAGTAGCTAGTAGACCCTAACTAGCTTTGCATGCGTATTAAAGTAGTAGAGCTAGGCAAGCACTAGATTATTATTAGTCTAGCTAGTAGGACTAATATTAATAACCTAGTCCTGTAGGAGGTCCTTAGTAAACTAGTTAGAGATAAGAACCTTGCCTGTAAGGATAAGGAATAGTAGGATAACCTTCCCTGTTAACCTAACGCCTTATACTAGGGTAACCTACTTATAATTACTAGGTTAGATCTTCTTCTGCTTCCTAGGCTTCTCTAAGCCTATTACTACTAGCTATAATAAGATCTTGCCTATTAGGAAGCTAGACTTATTAAAGTTGTACATATCCTTGTCTATAATACTATACTTTGCCTTTATAGACTAAACAAGCGTGAACTAGAGCTGGATAACTGCTAGGTCCTTGCAGGCAGCCCGCTAGCGATCGTATAGGCGGGTCCACCGCTTCTAGAGCTCTAGTGTACGCTTTACTAAGTTGTCAACCCAGTTCTTGCTAACAGGCTTTGCACCGCGCTCTCTTAGCAGTTTATCTGCCATATCTTGTACGTCTGCCTTTAAGGAGGGTAGGCCACACGCAGATTCCTTAAGTATACGTAGTACAACTACCTCCTCTTCTAGCTTTGTAAGGCGTTTTGCATTCAGCTTATAGTTATGTTAAGAGCGTGTTCTGTTGCGTTAGTGTTAGATTGTTTATTTAGGCACTTTATAGACTTTCTTAGCGCGTTAGATACTTTAAATTTAGTTTCTTAAGATATTAGATATAGCAAGCTGTACATCAGCTTCAGTATAGAGTGTAGGAGCTTGTTGTGGTTGAGACATTACGCGCTGTTGTTGCGCCGGCGTTCTGGCAGCGAGAGTGCGGCGCTCGGTTGGGTGCGGCGCTCGCTTGTGAAACACGTTATACTAGACAATTGTCTGCTCCTCTAGTAAAGTAAGTTTCTAGCAATTAGCGCATATGTCTAGTTAAAATGTGATATTATAAAGGCAATTAGAGACCTACTAATAAGGTATATTCAACACTCTAGCAGCGCTGTAGATACTGTAAAATTAGCTAGCATAGAAGGCCTAGATAGCAAGGATAACTCTGCCTTCTCTAGTAGTATTCTAAAGTTGTTGTTATTAAGGCATGTTGTGTTAGGGTAAAAGGTGGTCGTGCCAAGAGAAAGTGGCTGGTTTGGTGATATGGCTGGCTTGGTGATAATCTACGTTAGCCTAGAGTTTACTAGTAGACTCCCTACTACACACACCTAATAGTTTATTAGCTATATCTATTACCTTACACAGCTAAGGCGCAAACCCTCACAAATTAAGGTTAAGGATATATTAGACAACTATCTGCTCTTTAGTTGTAGTAAGCTTCTAGCAGTTTGCGCGTATGTTGAGTTAAAATAGAGTATTGTTAGCGCGTTTAGAGAGCCTGCGCTGGTTAACGTTAAACGCAGCAGCAGCAGCCTAATGGCTCTGAAACTGTCTAGTATTATAGGCCTAGAGAGTAAGCTGCAGTCTCCCTTTGTAATGAAGTAGTAAGTCGTGATGTTGTTGAGACATACAGTAAAGTGTGGATTTATGTTGGTCTTGGCAGATTTTAACTGGTTCGGTGATATGACTGGCTTGGTGATAGAGTACGTTAATATTGTTAAGACATACTGTGAAGTGCAGAGTTGTGTTGGTCTTGGCAGATTTTGACTAGTTTGGTGATATGACTAGCTCGGTGATAGAGTACGTTATAAGATTACTGGTACGAGAACGCGAGTTTCAGTTAATCCAAATGAGCGATTCAGCAAAATTGAGAGTAAACAGGCCGCTATTGACTGAGCAGCAGCTCTACAGGCTCAACAAGCCAACACTTCAGCTGAAACAGAGGCTCGAAAAGCAGCAGCAGAGGCATCAGCACTTACTCTTATTTCCATGTGTACACAGTGGCAAATATAATCGTTGTTGTTAAGAAAATCACGACTCTATACTGCGTGGCTGCTTTGGGTGGGGTGGCCTGAAAGTATATGTGGCCGGAAAGTATATGGCCGAGCTTTAATACAGAGCCTCGTAGGGCTAAGAGCACGAGGTAAGTTAGCCGCGGCTCAACAGCGGGGCCCTGGTGGGGCGCATAGTATCGGTTTACCTAACTGATGAGCATTTTCTTTGCGACAACTGCGAAATATCACAACATCGTATTTCCTTACGTGTGGCAAGACATCAATTTGTTCCTCGCACAGTCGTCTATCCTTCTCGCGACACTTTTGGACTTACAAACCCCTCCCTTGCACTCTACACATAGAACACCGCTACTATGTCTACAATAACGCGCCCCAAGATCCCACCCGTCGTGATGGACAACATCACTCAGCAGATTGGCAATACGCCACTTGTGCGCTTGAACAAGATCCCGCAGTCGCTCGGTATTGAGGCCACTGTCTACGTCAAGGTCGAGGCTTTCAACGCCGGTGGCTCTGTCAAGGACCGCATCGCCCTGCGCATGATCGAAGCCGCCGAAAAGTCAGGACGCATCAAGCCCGGAGACACCCTGATTGAGCCCACTTCTGGCAATACCGGCATTGGCCTTGCCCTCGTGGCCGCCGTCAAGGGCTATAAGACAATCATCACCCTTCCTGAGAAGATGAGCCCTGAGAAGGTTGCGGTTCTGAAGGCGCTGGGCGCTGAGATTATCCGTACACCCACTAGCGCCGCCTGGGACAGTCCCGAGAGCCATATTGGTGTTGCGAGGAAGCTCGTCAAGGAGCTGCCAAACGCCCACATCCTCGACCAATACTCGAACGTCGACAACCCTATGGCCCACGAGTTTGGCACTGCCGAGGAGGTTTGGGAGCAGACACAGGGCAAAGTCACAGCGCTCGTTGCTGGCGCTGGTACTGGTGGCACAATCACAGGTCTCGCAAGGGGTCTGAAGAAGCACAACAAGGACGTCAAGATCATTGCCGCCGATCCCCAGGGCAGTATCCTTGCCCTGCCTGAGACGCTTAACAACGAACGCGTCAACGAGGGATACAAGGTTGAGGGTATCGGCTATGACTTCATTCCTGACGTGCTCGAGCAGAACATTGTCGATAAGTGGTACAAGACCGACGACCGCACAGCCTTCCAGTATGCCAGGAGGTTGATCTCTGAGGAGGGCATTCTCTGCGGTGGTTCATCTGGCAGCGCCATGGACGCCGCTGTCAAGGCCATCAAGGAGCTCGGTCTCGGCAAAGACGACGTCGTAGTCGTCATTCTGCCTGACAGCATCAGGAGCTACCTCAGCAAGGTATGTGATGCCTTATGTTGTAGAAACACCTCGCGCTGACATCTAATAGTTCGTCGATGACGACTGGCTCGCCGCCAACGACCTCCTCCCAGAAACCCCTCCTGACACACCCGAAGCCGCAAACGTCACCCGCCGCCTCTCGCTCAGCAAAACCAACAAGCACGATGCCTTCCACGGCGCCACCATTGCCTCGTTGCGCCTCAAGCCCGTCACGACCGTTCCCGCCACATCGCCCTGCAGCGAAGCCATTGAGACCATGCGTGAGAAGGGCTTCGACCAGCTCCCTGTCTCCGTCTATACGAACGCCGGCAAGCAGAGGCTCGTCGGTCTCGTCACATTGGGCAATCTGCTCTCATACATTGCATCTGGTCGCGCCTCGCCGAAGTCGAAGGTCGAGGATGTCATGTTTGACTTCCGTAAGCTCAATGAAGTTGTCAAGGACCTTGGAAGGCTGCAGATGGATGGCGAGGGCACAAAGGTTGGCAGCAGGAGGGAGTTCGTCGAGATCACACGGGATACCAAGCTCAACGATCTGAACAAGTTCTTCGAGTGGAACTCGGCCGCTATCGTCACCGAGAAGGTTGACGGCGAGACTCGCGCGGCCGCAGTCGTAACCAAGGTCGACCTTCTCACCTGGATGGTGACTCAGAAGAGTACCAACGGTCACTAGACTGGAAAACAGGTGAAGAGGGCGAAGTAGAAGGGCTGCATCATACGGAGTAGGGGCAGATGATTTGCGTTTGACATAGCATGGAGTTTTGGGTAGATACCATTCATCTGACTTCATTAAGTTAGCAGATGAAAGCTGCAGATTTTAACATCTGCAGCATAATCAAAACCGGTTCGTCGCGTTGACGAACGCCAACCGACCACTGAGTTCCTCCAGCCTCCATCGCCATCCCTTCTTCCCACACCGTCTAGAATCTAGCATTTTGAAAGAGAGATAGCAACACGAACACATGTCTCTGACCCGTGTAGTACGTCTTGCGTTGATAACACATTAGAGAGAAAAACACGGGGCACCTGTAGCCGTGTCCTATAGGCTGTTTTTTTTGGCACAGCCACAGGATCATGCCAGGATCCTCGATAGAAGCATACAGATTCTATCTACCAAGCCCACTACTCGCGAACAGGGTGCGATGTGTGTAGGTGCCGCTGTACTCCAGCTTTGCTTAAGCAAGCAATGATCCATGGAGAACTGGAGACGCAGGGCTGATGCGGGCGACGCAATATATGTAAATGAAGTGACTGCTTGACACAATTAAGGGTGGCGATTGAGAACTCTTTGGTTGGGGAGACCTATTACTGGAAACGCAAGCGGCAACTCTATTGCAAAGATGACTGGAAGCCAACGCCTCGTTGAGATGAGATGGACGACAAAGCCTTGCAGTCCCATTATGATCTAGAGTCGATCTACCAATACAGCTTCGATAGTAAAGACTTGGTGAAAATGGTCAACTATATTGGCTGCGACCTAGACGACAATGCCTTAGGTGGTGAGGGACGGTCTTGGGCATCTAGCTTTAGGTATAAGAGGGGTCTCTCGTAATTTCAAGGACATGACATTATCAGATCGGTGTAGGCAAATCCGGGAATCATGTACCTGTGCGCCCAAAATCTTGAAGCATGAAGATACTGTCAAGCCAAGAAGAGCACGCAAATCACGGCTCGCGCCAACACGATCTGTAAGCCTTCGGTCCAACTGCTTCACGAAGCACGCCTTCCGTTTCTGAGGCTACAGCTGTTGGCGCCGCGTCACTACCTCAGCTTCGACGCCACATGACTGCTACAAGTCTGCATAATGTTGCCGCTGTCAAATGGATAACTCATTTTATCTGCGGGCACCAACTCTAGACCGGCTATTTGAAATGTTGAATTAACCCCTGTTGTAACCACGTGGCTCAGATCACATGAAACCCTATTGTAGCAGGCACTGCCCGGTGGGCAAGTGCACTTACCTGAGAGCTTGTGTAACACAACATCACGACATCACATAACAAGACAACAGATAGCAATACAATCGCTGATCACAGTTTCCGACCGACACTGCTCACGCAGTTACACCTGCACGCTTCGCTCTCTCTGCCTGAGGTATCTAGCAACTCAGAAGCAAGATATAGGCAGCATATAGACTTCGTATCTTACTACATCGATATCATTGGTACATTCTCCAGTTTTGTCTGCTATGACTCGCCAAGCTGCTGCCTGGTGGCTCAGCCATGCCAAATTGTGCAGTGACTTCGACCGTACTGGAAGCGTGAACATATACTTTATATATGCTCGGTTGAAAATTACTCTGAAGACCTCCCTGCTGAAGACTTTGCTCTGGCCTGGGCACAATTTCTTCTACTGATTCACTGCTTTCTGTTTTGCACAATCCTCGCTGCAGCCTGAATGTATTATAATGAAGTCTTTGTGTCTCTCTGCGCTCCCGAAATAAACCTACACATATCAATCATACAGCACCGATATGATTTGCGCTTTGCCTGCTCATCTCTCGGCGGCTGGAAGTCCAAAATTGGGACGTGGACGCAAGAATGTTGTCTCGCCTAATGGTTAACTTCTTTTCTTCAAGGTTCTCTTGGAATTGTTATCTATCGTGCGCATAACCTCCTTTGGCGTCATGCCCCCGACAAGTCCCTCAGCTTCTGCACTTTACCTTTCCAATTTATACATCAACGAACCTAGAGAATACTCATGTTTGGTCTGAAAGATGGCTGATTCGCGGTATCTACGTATCTTTGTGCCGCATACCTCCTATCTTCGTTGTACTTGAGAGAAAGGAATCGAATCGGCTCGTATGTGGTCGAATGTTGTTTACAAAAGAGCTTGACTACATCATGCCGTTGCACGAAGAGGATCGAACAACTACATATGTCCAGTGTGCGGTATTAGGATATCCTATACTTTGACAGTCGCTGTGACCATCATCACCTCGGTTTCCACGGGGTCTCGAAGGTAAAAAGCGGTCAGTATATGTTTGCGTCTTTGTTGTAAGCGAAGGCTGGATCCAATTGCAATGTGCGCCTTCACTTCTTTGCCCTTTCTTGAGCGTAGTCTTTTTTCCTGTTAATTGTTATGTTGAAGTCTGGAGAACATTCGAGGCAACGACCAATATGAATATTAAGTTCCTGGAAAGCTCCGACATGGCTTTGAGGACTACAAGCTGCTGCGATAGCGTAACCAGAATGTGCACGAAACCTCAATCACCTCCATCCTCCTCGTCTATCTCCAATGAAATTCAACTGTCTGTCAAAACTGTGACCATGTACGACGACATGTTCTATGTGGACAATGGCCGGATACAAAAAAAATTGATCATCCACTCTTTGACGCATGGGACAGACCCATTGGGGAACACGTAACCTAATCATGCCCCAACAGCGCCTCTCGTCTCTTCAAGCCAGGCAGTCCAAAGACCTTTCGTGATTCACAAAGCTTAAAAAGCGGCGGACTGATGGACCTAAGCTCTCACTCTCCTAAGACTCAACAAGGAGCTCCCATCTCGACTGCGAACTCCGCAGCCACCAACCCTGCGTGTGCCTCGCAAGCTCAAATCCACGCCCCTGTGTGTGCAGTACTGCATCAGCCTTCGCGCTTACAAAAGCAAGACCAGCCGTCTGCAGATGTCACGCATAACCACACGCGTATGACGCGGACGGCAACGCAGCCGAGCCACTGGAAAAGCAGGGTGAATCTGCGAGCTTCGGGAAGCGCCGAGACGTTGCTTGTGGGAGTACAGAGAGATGGGCTTGGAAGTGGCAACACTTCGCCACAGAAGCATCTGCGGGGGATTCTATCCGCTGCGCTAAATGCATGCCGTTGTCGATGTGTTCCTGAAGGACGTCATGATGGAGTTGGGCTGCTGGTATGGCACGTCTGTGAGGCGGCCTGTGTTTCGAGACACGATGTTGACGACCTGCACACTTCATTTTACGCCCGTAGTACCGTACTGCGCCAGTGGAATTTTGTGATTCACGCATGAAAGCATTCGGAAGCTGACGATCTGTGACAACTACGAGGCTGCAAATGCTTGTGCATTTCTGCTGCTCAGTTGGGTGCGTGAACGGAAGGGATGGGATGCTTGACTATGGGCAGGACACTACTGAGGACAGCGTTGACAGTGGAGATCATTTTGGATAAGATGAGCGTTATAGTTGCCGCTTGCACACAAGCGAGTCGACAGCTGGTGTTTCGAAACTAACCCGCAGATCGTGCAATGCAGACCTTCGTATCGTATGAAGAGCTTGATAATTCTTCATCATGCTATAGGTAAGTATAACAGCCCAAGCAAGGCGCCTTGCGCGAGCAACATGTGTATTCCACCGGGCCTCACGAGAGTCAAAAGCCATGATGTCAGCTTGTGCTTCTGTCAGGCTGAGCATCTTCGGCCGAGGGCGTGTTTCAGATGTTGATGGCAAATGCAAGGGGCCACGTCTTTCAAATCAGCACTGTGGCCCAGAACTTTGGATCGGCCCAACGTGATTACATCTGGGTCGCTTCTGGTAGGTGTCCCATGGGAGAAAGATCTCCGGACCTTGGGGACTGCTGCCCAGTGGCGAACCGGTGTGCTAGCGAGGTGGCACTATTGGACGTGAGATTAAAAACACGTGATCTGGTTGACGGCATTCTTCAACAGCCTTGCTCGTACAGCTCATGTCTGGGAAGCAATGCTAACGAGAAAGCATTCGATATCCATGAGGCGCTTACGCTTGAGCCGCGATGTTGTGGTCGCGTAGCAGGGCAAGGCCAAGAATCGGCGTCAAAAAATGACATTGACGTTTCTGGTGAAGCTCGCGGGGTCTGAAACGCACGGAGCCTAATTGACCTCAAAAAGGTGGAAAGCAGTTGATCTTTCGATAAAAGCCAGTAGGCAGCGTACCGAAGTAGGAATGTCTTCCCAAAGTGTGCCGCAGTATAGAGGAAAGAGGTCCTGATTCGGACCGCTTGATACTGCGCGTCCAGAATAGTGTTGGCTGAGGCACAGACAGGAGACTGTCTCAGTGGTGTGGTTGAAGCACAAGCGTGGAAGAGTACACTGTAGATAGCAAGGGCGGACAGGTGCCGAAACTGCGGTCAGCGTTAGGTATAAACCTTACCACAGTATCAGAAATGAAGGAGCTGAGCGAAGTGTACGCCGTGCCAAAGTTGGATGTGCGCTTGAGAAAAACCAATAGTTTCGTGAGCAGCAGCCTGTACTCTGTAGGAAGTACCAGGTCAGCCAAAGCCTAGAGGATACGGGCGCCCATGACAAGAAGCTCGGCATGCTCAGCACAAATCTGGCTGCAGCTCAATAAAGTGGCCTGCAGTGAAAGGGTTGTCCGCAGAGAGACGGTTCAACCACAGCGCGGCGGGCAACGGCGGCGGGCACCTTATCTGCGCGCTCTGGGCTGACTTTATTGCAGTAGAGTGGAGGCAATCAAACACATATTTGGTGGGCAGCGTGAGCGCGGGACGAAAGGCGTGCTTGTTGGAGAGTTGAGGCGCTCATTCGAGCAGCCACAGCACCCTGGTTCCACCTTCCGAAATTGAAGGGCAGGGGCCACCGGGCTCACGTGCGCTGATTGGGCGGTCGTTTGTTGGATGACAGCGCTGTCACTGAGCTCCGGGATCGCAGCCAATGCAAGATCTGCGAGCAGGTGCGAGCAGCGGCATCAGGTGCGCACACGATGAGGAGCTGCTGTGCTGGGCGGTCGTTGCTGGAAGCAATTGGAAGCAAAAAGCACGTTGCAAATGTTGATTCCGTGCGTGAGCCTTGCAGGTGCCGAGGGGATTGATCCATATTGATGAGCCCCTGCTAGTGCGTGTGAGAGCTGGGCAGCCGCCAGAGAGCAATCTAAACGGGCCACTCGGGGAGCGGCCAGGAGGAGAGGACACACAGCGAATGGGGGCAGAGTGAAGGCAGCGCTTTGAGTTGCACAAGAGCGCCAGCTTGCGATGCGGGTTCTACAGTCTTACCTTCTGTCCATTCTATCTGCTGCTGTAGCGCCCATCCGCGTGTATTCCCCTCGACCCCTAACGTTCGTGCCTGGCACGCGAACCCCGTCTATTTTTGCGGGCGCTATCGAATGCAACAAACACGCCGGCCACACCCCATCCTGCTAGCAGCTAAACCCGTTCAGGGCGGATCCGTTTGCTGGCCTGCAGTGGAAGGGCAGCGCAGTGACCGTTCGGCTCCCCCCTGTCTGGACAGCCTGACCCGTCGTTTTGCGCCTGGAGCGGCCCTTGTGCGACTGAGTCGCTGACGGCCACCGAGCGCTGCTGCTACTCTCCTTCTCCACCCACCACTCCACCGTTCTCGTTCTCGACACCAAATCCTCTCTACGCCCGCCGACAAGCTTTCGAACGTAGTGCGCACTAACAGTCTCGACTACAAGTGTGCATCACCCGCCCGTGGCTGCCCGTGGAGATACCCTCGCGCACTCGTCCACCGCACCTCTCCTCCGCCGCCCTTGGGCTTACGCTCCCTTTGCACGATTCTCCGAATCACGACCGCTCCTTCCTGACGCCTTGCCTTGAACCCATCTCAGCACACTACCGACCGTGGCCCCCCGTCCGTGTCGCCGACATTCGTTTGCCTGAACCGCCGTGGACCGCCAGTTCAACGTTGCTCCCCAGCCTCGCCTCGGACCCTGCACGACGCGCAAGCTTCACGCCGATCAGGAACGCCGACTCCACCCGCCGAACGAACAACGTCGAGTCTTTGTTGCTGCGGCACGACCGTCGCGCCACGCCACCGATCGTCTCTTTGTTGACGCTGTGCATTGTCTGCCTCCGTCTGGGTGTGCATATCTGGAATCGGTTCATGTCAAATATGACGGCATAGAACTACCACGAAAACGAATTCCACTGCGACTGCGACGCCTGAATTTACCAAGGCTTCAGTCACATTCCTAGCTGCGTCGACAGTCTAGTGAGTGCACCTGAATTATGCTGGACATGCAGAGTCCTAACGTGCGCCCAGGTCCATTCTTTACACACCTTTGACTCTCGTCAAGTACACTCGTTTGAACAACAACATACTGTAAGTTACTCTTGCACATATGCAAACGTCCATGTCTCACGATTGCAGGTGTACCGACTTTGCTCGCGCTCTATACCCTCGACATATCTTAATAAGGATCTAGTGCTTGAAGTTAATCACAAACATGACGCGCTCAACATCAGTATGGGCCGCTGCCCTCATCATAGCCAGCATTTCTGGCTCTGGACCCATTGCACTAGCAGAGGCCATGCCAGCACCGCAACCACAGCAAACACAGGGCAAGCCCCGCTACTACTTCCCGCGCCATGTCAAGCGTCAGATCAACACCGAGACGGCTAATGTTACGGCACCCGCAACACCTTCCTCGTCCTCATCCACCCTATCCTCGAGCTCGAGCAGCGAGAAGAGAGAGCCTCAGCTCCCGAACTTCACATCATGGTTCAATTCATTGATCAACTCTCAGTCAGCGTCCTCGTCTTCTTCGACATCATCTGATCTCTTCTCTACCCAGAGCGAGCAGGACTTTTCAAGTGCGGCGCCCTCATCGATTATCGTAACATCGACACCTCAGAACTCTCAGATCCAGGCTCCGTCCGGAACACGCAGCCCTTCTTCATCACCCGTCCCTTCGTCCTCAACAACCCCGGAGCAGGTTTCTACTGCGCCAACTCCATCAAGTGCTCCCGTTGAGACCAGTCCTGAGAATGTTTCGTCGAGCCCTGTTGCTGCACCGATTACCACACCAGAGGAGTCCACAACCGCTACAGTTGTTACATCATCCCCGGCACCAAGCTCGACTCTCGAGCAGCGGTCATCATCTCAGGTCCAGAATACCCCTGACGCGGAGAGGCCTGCAACAACTAGTACTCTGTCTCAAGCTTCGGAGGTCGCTCTGCCAACAACTTTGTCCTCGCCTTCACCTCCTGCGGCTCCCACCTCCCAGACGCCTTCTGACACCGAGGAGCCTAGCAGCACTACGCCTGCCCAGCAGTCGTCCGCAGCAGGTACCGGTATCCTGCCTCAACTTTCGGAGATTCTCCGGCCTACGAGCTCTCCCTCGCCATCTGCGGCCCCGAGTTCTCGGACTCCCGCCGAGGTTGAGCCCAGCAGCAGCACTCCGGCTGCTCAGCAGCCCTCTTCTTCTGCTGGAGCCTCGACTGGTCTGCTCCCTGCACTGTCTGCGATACTCCAGCCCCTCACATCGTCTGCGCCTTCTGTGCCCACACAGTCGACTGTGGACGAGCAGCCCACTCAAAGCGCAGACGGAGGACTTCTCTCGTCTCTTCTGGGCGTTCTCCTTCCTTCCAGCAGTGGCCTGCCTGCCTCTGAGTCCATCGTCCAGCCTACCGAGGTTCCTGTTACCTCGCCGCAGCAGGCCGCTTCAACTGGCGCACTGCCCGATGTGATTATCCCTGGAACACCATCAGCTACCCCCACCTCAGAGGCGCCTTCGTCCGCGCCATCGAGCTTCCAGGGTCCCTTCATTGTTCCGGGAACTTCGGAGACACCTTCGCAGTCTACCGCCACCGACGCTGTCGCCTCTACGGATCTCCTTCCCCCTGCGTCTGCGATTGTACAGCCTACTTCGTCTGCTGGTCTTCTAGATGGCCTGTCTTCGCTCCTT